CTAAAGAATGGAAAATAAAAATTACTTTCCTATATTTAATTTGTGTGGAATTGAAAATCAAACTTCATTTAGTTTAAGACACGAAGCTGCTATTTGTACTTTATAAAATAAAATAAAAATCATCGTTCACCCACACTCAGTCATTGGATTAATTTGTGGCATGTTTACTAATCCGTAATTGGATTATAAGGAATTGAATTGAGGATAATTAGATTCCGGATTTCTATTGAAATTTTTTACTAAACCATATAGATTGAGGTGAGTTAGATTCCGAGTTCCTATTAAAGTTGTTTACTAAATCATATGAAATTGGGGTAGGAGTGATGTTATTTACTAAAATGTCCTCGTTGTTAGGTTAAAATAGATGACAAATTTGGAATTTTTAAAATTGTGTGAGGATGTAATGGGTAAAAAAAAATGAATTCCTAGTGGGTTAGTTCTTTAGGAATTAGAATACCACCTCCCATCCAAGAATTGAATTCCTCCAAATTTAGAAATTTAATTCCTAATTTTGTGTGGGTCCTATTTACTTTTCAATTCCTTGATGTGAAGTAAACGCATAAATCCTCCATACGTGAAATCCAATTCCTGATAAGTAAACATACCATAAATGTATTATGATAAATTAACACAAGAACTCTCTTAAGATATATATCGAAGATCTCATATGACTGTTAGTGTTGAAGATGATTTCATGGTAATACCAAAGTGAGTTGCTGTAAAGGTGTAGTAAGTGACATTCTGAGAGAAGGTTTTTAGAAGGTCACACTCACACATATGTATAAAATTGGGTTATGATAGGGAGATCAATTTTAGATACCACCTTGTGTATCATCTCTTTAATAGAGGTGGAACTCACCAATACAATAGATCCCACGCTCTATTAGAAAGATAGTACACAAGTTGGTATCTAAAGTTGGTTTCCCTAGTATTTTCCATATAAATAAGAATTTATATTCCAATTATTGCTGCGTATTAATTGCAAGTAATCAAAAGCCTAAAATTAGTTGACACTCAAGGGGTCACATGCAGCATATTGATTTAGATCCAGAAAATTGCTTCCGATACCAAATGAGAAAGACATACGTGTATCACACTCAGCAAACGCCATACAATAATTTTTTCTCCAGCACATATAGATTTCTAGGGAAACGAAGTTCTAGAAAAATAATCCTATAGTTTTGTTGGTTAAGAGTATTTACTCCTGCATTCGAGGTTCTAGCTTTGATTCTCTCATTCTTTAATATAGCTTGTATAAAAAAAAACGACCCTATTTATTTCTTTTTTGATATATATATATTTCAGATATTTTCTATACAGAACTAATTAAATGAGTGAAATAATTTAAAAGCAAGTTAATAAGCTAATATTGCATTATATTATTACCAATCATTCACCAAGGTAAACAAAACTTGGTGCTCACACTTACAGACGAAAAAAATTCATAAAAATGCTTGCACTTTATATAGCTGGCAAATCAGGAAGTACTAAGAAATAAATTTTCCATGTGTTAAAAGAAATGCCACAAAGACATGAGCTAAAATAATGCAATCCCCCCAACATATGATGCTGAAAATGCTGAAAATGAAGCCCATGTCATGTGTATACAAATGAGATTTTTCCTGCAAATTAATTAATGAATTAATTATTACTTGTTATGTAATGCCAAATTAATCAATCATAATTAATAAGTAACACTCTACCATGTGGATGGAAACCCAAATTTGCTAGTCTTAAAGGAAGTTGACGTTCAAAATCAATTGATAATGAGGAACTAAACTCGGACTGAGTCCCATAACTTTTTAACTTAGGCGAACATTCTCAACAACCCTTGGTGGGAGAGACAAAAACATGCACTCAATCAGGTAGTATCTACCTGAATTTGAGTATGGAAGCTAGAATTAAATAGCCTACTAGGCAAGGATATTTTCCCAAAAACAGATATGTTTTTTATTTGAGCAAATGGGAGATCCTTCAACAAACTCCCATCAGGTGCAACAACCAATCGAAGAGTACCTGTAGCATGCATGCATATCTTCCAATACTTAGGAAAAGGAAAATATATAAACAAATGTTATGGCAAATTTGACCCAAAAAAAAAGGAGAAATGTTATTATGACAAATATGAGAATTTCTGTCAAATTCAATTTGCCGTACCTAAAACCCTTCACTTTTTATTCCTATAAATAATACCCAATTTGTATAAGTAAAAACCCATGACTAGGATCCAACTCAGCAAGTTACCTAATTAAGCATAAAATCTGATTTATTGTACTTTTCAGATTCCAAAAATACC